TTCTTGGAGGGAGTTATCCCAACTCATGCAGGTGGCTGGCTTGAAAAATTCTGCTTTTGTTGTTTTGCCTGAGCCAAAAGCATAAAGAGGTTTAAGCATTGGGAGCTCCAAACGATGATTTCTTCAGTTAAGGAATGGATGTTGTACAGTGGACTGCAAACCAACAATAATGTGTTTTAAAAAAATCAGTTTGGGGAGAAGAAACTAGACAGTGTTTTTGTGAACTATCTTTGCAGCACTGAGGAAAAATCACAAGAATTGGATTTTGTTTGGAAGCACAGCTGTGTAGTCAGTGTACAAGTATTTGAAGTTTTATGGCTGTTAAAGATTTTTTTTTTCCCCCTCCAACATTTCCATAGCTTGCATATCAGGTTTTCACTAAAAGATGGATTACCAGTTTTAAAAATGTTGTTGTGCCATATTTTATTTATCCTTATGCATTAGAAATAAATAAATATCTATTTAGACTGAATATTGCAATAAAAGATGCTATTATTGTGAACTTCAGGGTTTAAACTTGAGACAAAAAAATGGGAAATACTGCTCCAGTGCATCTGCTGTTTGCGACCCTCTTTCTGAAGAGGTTATTTAAGGTTTTATAGGTTAAAAACAAAATCCCATCTTAAAATTCACAGTTGTGCGATGCTAACCCTGAAGTTCTCAAGTTTGTGATCCTTTGGGTTTTATTTTGAGGTTGCTTTTCTGGTGCAGTCACATCATTCTTTAGAGAGGTCAAGTTTCTGGAGTTACTGAGGAAAAGGTGGAATGGGTTGATCCATCCTGCTTGGCTTTTTTAACCTATTAATCTTTTAAGCGATCGATTTCAAATTAAAAACCAACTTTTTAGGTCTCTGTTCTACTTAAACTTTTTAGGAGTGAGAGCCTGCCCTCGCTGAGTGCGACTTTGATGGGGAAAGCAGTAGATTATGAGGTTGCTGTTGCTCAGGAATTGATTAGTAAACTTTTAACTACTAATAAAAATCCATTTTTCAATGGATTTTTTGAAAAACCCATTTTCTTAGAACAGTGATATGGGATGTTTCCTAGTGAATAGGAATTAGTTTATATAATTTAGCCTATTAAACTGAATTATTTAAAATTCAAACTTCCCCTAATTTATCTTTTTTTGTTGGATTTTTTTTTTTTTATACTGGTAAGTTGTCCTGTCATTCCTTTCATTCTTCCATAGAAGTAGCGTGAATTCTTCTGGTGTGTATATATGTATGTATAATATATATATTTCCACCCTGCCTTTCTAATTCTCCACAATGTAAGAGTTAGTTTTTTCTCCCCTCCCTCCACTTAATTTCTTGTGTCTTTACCTTGATTTGTAATTGAAACAATGCTTTGAAGTTTTGTCTTTATATTAAAGTGTATGTATTTTAATACACCGTACTGTTGTGGAGTTTCTTTTTTTAGGCGTCCCCCGAGGACACGAGATGTTCTGGACCACGTCCTGAATTAGGCGGCGTGCTTAGCTCTGGCAAAGCTGAGCCTAAGCTCTCGGGGTTTAGCAGGGGAGTGACTCGACGACCCCACCCTAGTGATGTTTCCTATTTACCCTTTTGGCCAGTTATTTCACCACTGGAATGAAACTCAAGTCAGCCAGGCAACGTATTTGAATTTCAGAAGTGACGGCCGTAACGCTTTCTAAGCTAATTCGCTGTAGGATTCCTAAACTGCGATGAAAGCCCGGCTTCACCCGATGCTTGCACCTAGGTAGGTTTGTGGGTGTTGGGCTGCAGCAGCAGCCTGACCCAGCTCATCTTCCTCAAGACGTTTGTCACTCGAGCTACGGCCAAGCACTCTGCCTGTTAGCAGAAGGCCTCTAAAAAGCACATGGCAGAGAGGTGCCTTCCCCCAGCGCCCCGCTGCTCCGTCTCGGGGGACTGAAGGCACCCTCTCTTCGGTGCGTCTGCCACCGCTCCTCCATCGGTGAGCCCTGCTGTGTCACCTCCTCTCGTGCGGTGCTGCTGGTGGCCTACAGCCACCTGCTCCCTCCTGGGCTGGGCCCTGAGCTTGCTACGGCCACCCCTCCCCAGCCACCGTTTGTGGTTCTTAGACAGCTCTGACTGCCACAAAGATAAAAACAAGCTTTTATTAGAAATGTTCCCTGTACAACAGATAAATGGCTTCAGTTATGCCTTCAGGGAGCCTGTACACAGCGCTCACTGGAACAGGCCACTGAAACACAAAAAAGCAGAGTGACCAGAGTACGAAAAATGAACAATTGTCTGTAAATCACCAGCGGTTGATGCAGATCTCAGTGTGTAGAAGTACCATCTGCCCTTACTTCTGAAACCTAACCCAGTGTCCTAGCACTAGTCTATGAGTTGATCTAAGTTACTGGGCCTGCGCCCATGTAACCCTTCACAGCATTTGTCTTTTACATTCAGTTACGAAATGTCCTTGTTACCTCTTAAATAAGTGTTGGGATTATCTCCCGCTCACCCAACCGTTCCCCATAACATCAGAACAAAATGCCCGTTTTTATGTACAGTGGGGTGGTGGGTGCTGGCTCTACCTTCTGAAAGGCGCGTAAGGAGGACGCTAGCGATGGTCCTGGAAGGCAGAGGGTTGAGAACCGTTGGCTGCTGAAGGTGGCTGGCAGAAACCGGGAGCCTCGCTGTAGCACTAGAATTTTGTTTGCTAGAAATGACTGAATGTTGGCGGAATTCCCAGGGGCTTGCGTATATATGGGCTGACTTTGCATATTGAAGAATTCACGGATGCTGAACCTTGGGGAACTGAGTTTGGATGCGGCCGTTCTGCCTCTGAAACCAGCCGGCGGGAGCTGGTAAGCTGATGCTAGAGCCAGAGTGCTGCGTGACCTGCAGCGGGGGAACCCACAACCGCTCAGCTCAGCCCATGCTGCAGCAGAAGCAGTAGCGGCAGCGCAGCTTGGGTTATCCTGCTGCTGCGCCTGGAGCGCATCCGTCCTCTATTGAGTGACCTGACAGACGAGTCTTTTTCACACTAAGTAAAGCTGCTGCATGTCAGGAACGTGTCCCTGCACTGACGTAAAGCAGAGTAGGCTTGTGAGGATTAAAATGCACTTTAAAGTCATCTGAGGACACTAAGTTCCTAAAGCGCAAGCTCTCGTGTGTTCCTGCTTTTAATCCCTCGCTGCTGCTTCCACTAGAGTTGCCATCTGTCTTCAGAACTGCCCTATTTTCTGCTCCCACCCTGCCATGCCCTCAGCTTATTACGCAGGACAGCTGCCCCGCTGCTTATTTTGGTAATTTCTGGAGCAAGCACCTGAACTGTTGAAGGGAAACGGAGTATCTGGGGAGGGAAAGGAAAAATCTTGGCTTTGAGGTTAAAAATAAAGTATCATCAGTGACATCTGCCACTATTGGTACCCAGCAACATGAGGTAAAGAGGGAAGGCCACGCCACTAAAGCTTGTGATATGGGCTCTTGTTTCGGAATGTGCTCCCAGCCAAAGAGGAAGAGACCCAAAACTTCCCTTCAGGCCCAGAGCACACGCTGCTCTAACCCCTCTCGCTCACCCTGTGCGGGGTAGCTGCGGCGCAGCCTTCCTGCCAACCGGGTGGAACAAAGCCCAGAGCTGCGGCCACCTAAAGCTCAGGCCAAGCCCTTGTGCTGCATTTACCTGTCCCAGCCCCTCCTGTCATCAACAGCCTGACAGCGTTACCTGGGACCTTCCTAGGAGCTTTTCCTGGAGCTTCTCCTGGGCTAGTTCCAGGGGAGCTGCTCCAGCCAGCTGTGGCCCTGCGAGTGCTGGGAAACTGGGTCACCCCGAGCCCTGGGTGCAGGTAGGGGGAGTGGCTTTCATCCCTCATCCCTGCGCAGTTTTCCTTCCTTCAGCCAGAGCAGGAGGTGCAGAACAAGGAGAGACGATGTTCCTTAATGCTTATCTTATCTCTCTGCTACAGGTGCCCCAGGAAGGCAGCCCTTGTTCCCTGGCAGCTTGCTGTGACCTTGGCACAGTGTTCTGGTCTTGCCCTTTGGGTGCTCACAAAGGGGAGAAAAGCTGCAGCAAAGGCTCAGGGAAGGAAGGTTAATGCCCAGCTCTCACATGCTCCCCAGGCTTAACTTCTGCATGCCCCAAAGCTCCAACATTCAGCCAAAGTGGAGCAGTTCCGGTCTTTACCAACCTCCCCATGTGGCTTCCCCCTCTGTACCGCTTAGCCTGGCTCACAGCACTGCAGAGGGAGGCAGGATCAGGACCCAGCCCTGTCTGCACTCCCCTGTTCTCTAACACGTTAGTGAGAGTGCTCGGATGGCTGTGGTGTGGGCTGCATCGAGCCTCGAGAGATCAGCACCACCTGCCTGCAGAAAGGAAAAGGCGGCACAGCTGCTGCTGCCTTCACCCAGGGGAGGGGACACCCCCTCCCCGTCAGCTGGAGCTGAGCTCTCTTTCCCCCTCCTCCTCACTCAACTGCCCAGCCATCAGCCTCTGCTAGCAGGTCTCGGACACAGAACTGGCTTTGCAATGAAGAGAGGGCACGACGGGGTTAACCCTGCGAGCACAGAAATGAAATCCGTTGGCGCATCCTCTTACAGCACTTCATGGCTCCCTTGGAGACCGCAGGAACATCCTGAGCCAGATAAGCTGATTAGCTCCCTGCAGGAGGGGGAGGAAGAGGAGGGCTAGAGCTGGCTCAGGGCCTGTCCCAAAAGCTCCAGGCCAGAGGGCTGCAGCCTGTGCTGGAGGGGCGCAGGTGCTGGGAGCTCTGTTCAGTCCCTGCCTCCTCCACTCTTGCTAGGAGGCAGCAGGGTTTCACTCCCGGTGCCGCACCAGCGCGGTGTCAGGTCAAGGGCATGGTCTGCAGGGAGCAGTTAAGACTGGCTGCCCCCACAGCTGGGGCAAGTGGGAATGTGCAATGAATTCCCTTTAAAAAAAATCCTACAAAATAATTTGGCTAATAAATTAAAAAGTCACTTGGTCACCGCTGTGGGGAACTGCTGCTGTTCTTCCTGGGGGGTGCTTGGGGGTGACCTGGGGCCAGAAGCCAGTTCAGCCAGGCGAGGGGATCATTGCTTGTGTGTTCCCAGCTGGAAGCGGGCTTCCTCGGAGATCCCGTACTGCTCCAGGGGGTCCTGCAGAACAGCACACAGAAGGCACCAGTGAGACGCTGACAAGGACGGGGCCAGCAGGACTGTCCCTCAACCAGTCTGCGGTCTGGGGCTGGGCACCCAGTCCAGTCGTGTGCTGGATTTACCCCTGTCCAGCCCCTGGCTGCTGTTTCTGGTGCAGAAAGTCAAGGAGCCCTCAGGGAGGGCACAGAGGGCAGCCAAGGTTCATGGGCTGTACTCGGTCCCCTCCAGCGCAGGAGTGTGTGAGGAGCTGCAGGCACCTCCATCACCTCGAGCACGGATGCTCTGAGGCACCCGGCAGAGCTATGAGCAGCATCTTGACCCACATACACCCTGATCTCGCCAGCGCTGCTGCAAACTCTGCCAGAGGAGGAGTTCAGGCTGGCCCAGGCCAGACCTGTCTGGCTACAAACGTGGGGCCGCTCTGCTGCTGGAAGAGCACGTGTGTCAAAGCTGAGCACGGCAGACAAAGACTCAGGTCTAGCTGTTGAGACCACGGCTTGAGGAACTGGCATACCGCGGGAGCTCTTCCATAGACACGGCAGCAAATAGCTGCGTGCAGGACAGTTGGCAGCAACACCTGGATCGCTGGCCCCAGCTCCAGTCCAAACCCTTGGGTCGCCGCCCAACAAGCTGCCTTCAAGGGACTCACCTTCCCTGTCATTTTCTGGATCTCATTCCGGTAGAAAATCAAGCTCCTCCTCATGAACTCGTAGCTGTAAGACAGGAACAGACCATGCAGCAGGCTGAGCAGAAAAGGATGTGGAGAAGTTTCCGATGCTATTTAGAGCTGAAGGGAAGCTCGCTCGGGAGGAGACAACCACTTTCCTCCCGGGGTTCACCACAACCTGATCCCAGAACACAAACAGCACAGAGCACACGACGCAGACCTCGCACTAGCGGCTCAGCCTACCTGGCTCGCTTGAGTGCCTCAATCCACTCCTGACACTGCTCTTTGCTGTCACATTCGAAGCAGTATTTCCTCTCCGGCTCCTCAACGAAACCTGCCAGGGATAAGGAAAGGGCTTAAGGCAGGTCCTGGCACCACTGTTTCCCTCCCCAGCAAGAGCCAGACTTTGCCAGGCCACAGTCAGCGCCTCTGTTCAGCTAAGATCTAGAACCAGCTAGTAATGCAGGTCTGTGGCCCCTCTCCCTCAGCCTGGATGGCTCCTGGCTGCCTGCAGTGTTTGTCAGCTTACAGCAGCCAAAGACTTCGGAGAGGAAAGAGCAACTTCTCAAACCGAGAGCAACAGCTCAGAACCACCAGACCACTGTGGCCAGATTCAGGACTGAAACTCCCTGAGCCTCCTTGCAAGCGGTCACCAGAGATTTAGTAATCAAAGTGGAAAATGGCCCTGAGGAAGTGATGGTGATACATGCAGGTGTTAAATTGCACTCAGAGAAGGCACTGACCTGTCTTTGCTCGAGGCTTTTGGGAATTTGGTACGGTGCACAGTAGAAACCAAGTCCCCATGCAACTCCAGTTCTTTACCAAGACAGAATCAGGACATCTAATTAATTACACTGTCCCCAGAGCTCTGCTCTTCAGTACACAGTCCATAGAGATCTAGGCTGCTGCTGGGAAATAACTGGGTCAGACCGCATCAAACACAACCTGACACCAACTGCCATCAGTTTTAACGCTTTTCTCAGGAATCCTCAATCCACCAGAGCTCCCAACAGTCCTAAACCCCCAGAAATTCGGAGTGTGGTGCTTGCTTAGACAGATCAGAATGCTCAGGCTCGAGGGTCCTTTGGAGACGGCGAGATCACCACCTCTCCCAGTGAAAGGAGGAGACAAGGCTCTGCACAGAGAAGCAGCTGCGCCCGACAACCAGGCCAAAAGATACGGGGATGGCCTTGGAGAAACATCCTGTTATTTTTGCCACATACCTCTCACACAATGATTAGTTGTTGGATGAAAGGCTGCTTACAAAGGACGACACAGTGCAAGCCAGCTGGAGCCGTGGCTATCAACACAAGGACAAACAGCGTGGCGGGAGGACTGGTGCTAGATTAGCCCGACAGATGGTTTATCTGAGGCTTGCTTTTTTTTTTTTTTTTTTTTGGATAAAATGCAATAGCACAGAAGCAGCAATCTGTCAATATCAACCCCTCCCAGAGAGGGATTTCCACAAGTACTAAGCCACGGTCTGTCTCCTCTTCCTCCTTCTTTCCTCATATGTGCTGTGCAAATCGCACAGATTTCAGCCAGCAACGAAACACCGCTGTCCTGGGGACGGGCGCAGCAATGCCAGAGTAACAACCCGCAGCTGAGGAGGAGGAGGAAGGCTGAGCAGCACTAACCCTACTGTTACCAGAGAAACAGAGGGAAAAGCAGGAACTAAGCAGCAAAACGTTTCCTTTTACATAGTGCTATTTGCCCAAAGGGAACGCGTATGCGGAACTCACTGATGGAGAAGACGTTCTCCTCCTCTTTGGTGATCCTGCAGTGCTCCAGCAGCAGAGCTCCAATGGGCTGGAAAAGACCCGGAGAAAGGGTTTAACCTGCATCGTCCGCCAGTGCCAAAGCGGCCTGAACCCCCAGTTTGCCCAGTGCCTTTAAGCAATTTCATAACCTGGTGCTACTTTTAAAGTAATTCAGTCTAATTGCATAAAAGTTCCACGTTCTTTTAATTGATCTTTTTGTGTCCGCAGACATGCTTCGTTGTGCTAGTCTTCCCTGTAACACTCTGATACGTTAATTAGGTGTAAACATTTCTACTCGCTCGGATTCCACCGGGGCTTTAGCATTCGTTTCAGCGGTGCAAAGACAGCGAAGAAGTTCACTTCCTCGCTCAGTAACTCAGAGATGAAATATTTAACACAACACACAGAACAACTCGCGCTGTACTTCTAAGGGCAGCCCTGAAGTATTGCAAGAGGTTGAGAACAGCGTGTTGAGGAAGTAGAACAGCTTGGGATAAACAGATAAACAGCAGGTACTATTTGCCAGCCAGTGCACGCTGAACAAGGACACGGGAACCAAAGGGTGATACCAGCCATAAACAAACACAACCCACGGGCAAATTCTTTTGTCCAAGTAAAGAAAAAGTGAGAGGCAAGTAAGGCAGCAGGGAAGATACTGAAACACCTGGTTCACTCTGTATTTCTGGCACAACGGTTCTACGCTAGCACCCTCCGCCCTTGAACTATTTTTGGTCCATTCAAGAACATTCTCTCCCCTGAATCAGAACGCACACAGGTGCTTACAAATAACCGCCAGAGAAGATGACAGCAGGGAAGGAAACTGCGAAGGAGACGGGCCGTGTCCTCAGAGCCTTGTCCCGCACCAGCGCGGGAGCCACAGCTGCGTCTTTACACACAGAGACGTGCCAGAGCGACTGCTCGGCGTCTCGGCCCTACCCAGGGAACTGCGACTGCAGCTCTAGCGAAGCGGCGATCAGCAACTGCGCTTCGGCAGAAAGCAGGAAAGAGCAGTTCTGAAAGCAGGAGCTCAGCCACGATCCGGGTAAAATATTTATGATGGACTGAGGCTAAAAATGCCACTAAAAGCTTTGCAGTTCCTTTGTAGCACCAGCATGCACGCAGCACCTTTCTTCACACGCGTTATTAAGATTGCTTTTATATTCATTTTCCAACAAGAGAATCTGCAGCAACAGTTAGCAAGGGATTCATTAAAAATCACCAGATCTCAGCAGTGGCAAAGCCAGAAACAGAACCCAAAGGTCCCATCCCTCATTTCTTTTTCCCTAGACCTAAGGAGAGTTTCTGCATGCTCAAAATATCAATGTTGACAGGGTACGGCCACGAAAGTTTCCCGGTATTGTACGCAAGTAAAATTCCTGGCATTGAAAAGAAGAAACAATGCAGGGAGAACAAAACGTAATATAAATTTCCTTGGGAGAGCAAAATCTAAGCTTCCCCTCACAGTTTGGCACGACAAGGCGCAGTCCTACAAACAAAGAGCACGGACTCGACCTTTTGCAGTTTTGGGGCAACGTTTAAATGATTTGTTCCAAGCTCGCAGGAGAAGCACCTGGGTGTGGGCAGATGGCAGCGCTGCTTCTCACCCCCCAGTTTTTGCTGAGCTGCTAGAAGAGGAAACGCGGGTGCTCTGTCCTGGCTCTGGCAGCCTCCTACTGACCATTTTACAAAGCCCACACAATTCGCAGAAAAAGAAGAGAGAGGGAGGAAAACAACAACAACAAGCAATTTCCATACCTCTGCTTCGTCCGTCCGGAAGTAGAAGAGAAAGTTGACAACAAGCTTCACGAGGCGTTTCTTTAACACTGCAAAGAAAAAGAGCGTTGAAGCGGGCGGAGGGAAGCCCCTTCCACCCCGCAGCGCCCAGCACGGCGTCGACTCAACCAAATCCACGGGGAAGCACCAGTACAGTTTAGACTTTTGCTCCTGGAGGAGCTTGTGACAGCCCACCGTCCGCACCAGGCTGCCCTTCCGCAGCCACGGGGTGACAAAAGTCACTTTGCAGCTTCTCGAGCGGCTTCTGGGCAGACAGAGCCCAGGGCACCGCGTCACCAACGCGCACACAAGGCGGCCGCCCGGCTGATGAGAGCTCGGCCACGGAGTGCTCCAAACCCCGGGGGTCCCAGCCCGGGGCTGTCGGCACAGGTGTCACCGCGAAGGGACAAAGTCCACCAGAACGCTGCAGGTCCTAGGGCGGAGGAAAGGTGCGGCACAAGGGAGAGAGTTTAAGTCTCGTATTCCAGTGCTGGTTTGCAAGGAAATTTGCTGGGAGATTTCAGGAAAGAGCCTCTTCCTCCGAT